CAAAAAAAAAAAAAAAGAAGCCGCCAGGGGGCAGGCCGTTGGAGGGCGGGGCACTTGCGTAGGGGCGGGGCCGCGCCGCTCTGAAGGCCCCTCCTCCTCCAGCCTGCGAGCGCCCGCCCTGGCTCTGAACCCAGCCCCTGCCCAGCGCGCCTGGGGAGGCCAGGGGACCTCTGTGGGTCTCTGAAATATGACCATGAATACAGGATTTTGTAAAAAAGAAGAAAACAAGTTTTCAGGCTGAAAGAAACAGGTGATTAATTAGGTGATGTGGAAGGAGGGTGATGATGGATGGACACAGACACCGAGTTTTAGCTCCTGTATGGGAATTGGCAGGTGACAGGCAATGATTTGGGGATCCTCTCCGCATGAGTAATCCCTTCTTCCTCTGATGCCTCTAACCTTCCCAACAGCATTCCTTTAGATTTGTAGGGCTTTGGGGGGACTCACACTTACCAGGTGTCCCTTTTAAATTTTAGCATGTCTTTTAAATTTCTCGGTTGTAGAATTCTCCAATCAGTCTACAGTGCTGATACCTATTTTCTTGAATGATGTAATCTTACAGAACTAGGTACATCTCTCATTTTCTTCTTAAGGATCTTAGCTTTTGTCATATTTCTTCCTTCAGTATCACAGGAAATGAGTAAATAGAGTAACAATCTAGACAGAGGACACGTCTACTTGAAAAATGGAAAGCCGCCTGTTTCATAGCAATACAAAAATCAGTCCCAGTGGCTAGCAGGCATAAATGGCAAAACAATAGGTGGTAACTCCAGAGAATAGCTTCATGACCTGGGAGTAGGTAAAGAATTTTAAACAGGATACAAAAAACATACTAAGAAGGAAAAGATTCCTAAATTTGTTCATGTCAATATAAAGAATTTCTGTGCATTATAAAAATCCCTTTTGTAATGTTAAGAGATTGAAAAGACCGCAGCCCACAGTCTGGAAGGAGATATTTGGAACACAGATAATAAAAAAGGGCTTGTGTAATAAATTCCTGCCAATCAGTAAGAAAATACAGCCCCCTAGAAAAATGGGTGGGAGGCCTGGGACAGCTCTTCACAAAAGAGGATATTCAAGTAGCAATAAAGATATGGAAAGGTATTGAATCTCACTAATAATTAGCAAATGCAATTCAACATCACAATATTTTAAGTATTGTGAATATTTTATAATAACAGTTCAGGAAGACTAATTTTAGAAACTAAAGAGTTGGGGAGAATGTATAGACACTGGAATTCTTACAAATGCTGGTAGACATTAGGCGACAACTCCAAAAACTGCACCTGTATGTATGTACCCACTGACTCAGCAATTCCACTCCTAGGAATAAATCTAACAAAAAATGCATATGCATGTTCATGAAGATACATATAAAATAAATGGTCATAGAAACTTGTTTTTTAAATAATAGAAAACAGAAAAGAACTCAAATGTCCATTCATGGTAGAAGAAATAGGTACATTGTGATGTATTTATTTAATGGGCTTCTTTACAGTAATGAAAATGAATGAGGTACTGCTCTATGTGACATGGATCAATCTAACCTCTGGCATTAGATGTCAGTATTTGTTGACTGTGATAGAGAAGATAACAGGATTCAAAAGGATGCAAGCAGGGTCTCTAGATGGCAGGTATTATTCTGTTTCTCGAGCTGGGTAGCAGTTCTTTGGATATGTACAGTTTCTGATAAAGTATACACTTATGATTTGGGCATTCTTCTCTATGTCTATTATTTAAAAGTTGACTTCAAAAGGAGAAAAAGAAGGTACATGAGAGTTGGCATAGGAATCCTTTTCCAGCCCTGTCCTTCTCTGTAAATAATCCTCAGTTTGTGTTGGGTGGCCAATGTAGATTTCAGTTCTTAGAAAAGTGCTGGGTGTCAATGGTAGTGGGTGTCCTCTGTGGCCTGATGAAGCCATGGCTCCTGTACGGAGATCTACTGGGAGATCTACTGGGAGATCTGCTGGGGGATAACTGCAGGAGTTATCTGTAGAAGGAGTAAAGCTTTCCTTGGAGCTGGCCTTTGAGAAGCTGCACAGCATTTCGGTAGTTGCCTAAAGACACACACTGGGTTATGGGAGGTAGTGATAAATACAACAATCATTGCTTTTTTTTTAAATAGTTTCTCCTGTTCTTGTTCAGATGCTTTCAGTCAGTAAAATGTAGGGTGTTATTCTCAAAGGAGAAAGCAGCTTGCTATGAAACTCGCTGAACAAATGGCAGAAAGATGTAATATTCTTGAAAATCTTAGCTTGATTAAAAAATGAGCACGAAGGACTAGAATCGTCTTTAAATGATGCAGGCTGGAGAAAGTGACATCCAAAATG